TCATATATATATATATATATATATATATATATATATATATATATATATATATAACATTAACAATTATATTAACTATAACAATTTTACTATGTGTAATTTTAAATTCTCATTAAAATAAGCTCATTCCTAAAACTTATAAAGTAAATTCATTTAAAACTTTGACTTTATATTCCACATAAGCATAAAAAAAGAATAAATAAATAAATAAATAAATATGTATATATATACATACAAACATATACACTTATCTATTTAAATGAGAACACGTCTCCTATTCTTAGCATTGCCATTAATTTTAAAGAAAAGACAAAAGCAAATAGTCAAGCACCCATGTGAATGGTGATGTCATGTTCCACTAACAAATTTAAAACTAGGAAAATAAGAGAGAGAGAGAGAGAGTCTTCTTCTTCCTTGCATCTAAACCCATTTTCCTCTACTCCAAAACTCCTATGTCCCCTCCATTTGGGTGCGGAAACGTACCCAAACCGCACTCGACACGGGTACGGTGCCAAAATTGCCGTGTCGGGGTATCATAGATTGGTTTATATGGAGAGTGGGTGAGTTTAAAAATAAACGAGGTTAAAACTCCTAGGTTTATATGCAAAAAAAAAAAAACTCTAAAGCTTTTAGGATGAACATCGCATAGCAACAATGGAAGTTCAAACTTAAAAGTTCTAAAAGCTTTGTGGTATAGTAATTTTTGGTCTAAGAGTTATTTTTACGTGGGTAAGTTTAAATGTAAATGGGGATAAAAATTTAGGTATATATGCAAAAAAACCCTTTATATTATACTTTATTTATTATATTATTATATTTTTGGAAGTCAATGGAGTATTTGGGCCTAGAAATGATATTGAAAGTGAGTGCGCTTAGAAGATATTAGATTAAAAATTTGGGTTTATTGGCTCTTTTTTACATGTATACTAAACTAGTGGACTATCACCATAGCTATGAACAATAGCTACAATGGTAGTCCAATTAGTTTTAGTATATGGACAAATAAAATTGTCTCGTGCGTTCCTGCGACATTAATGTGAAAAAACAAAAAAGAAAAAGAAAAAAAAGAAAGTTTAAATATTGGGTTCAAAATATACCATATACATAACTACTTAGAGCAAACACATAGTAAGTTGCATGGAATTTTGCACTATATACCAAATTATTAAAATACAAATTGGGCTAAAGATTAATTTGGTATAGTATTTTGGATCTAAGTGTGATTTGGAAGTTGGTGGGTTTAAGAATAAATTTTGGTAAAACTTTGGGTCTATATGCGAAACACCTTATTTTGAAAGTGGCTTAGTTTAAAAATAAGTTGAGGTAAAAAATTTTTGGTTTATATGCAAAAAAAATCAATTTATACTTATCGGTGTCATGACCTTAGTAAAAACATGTTTTGACGAAGAAAACCAAAAAAATAGTTTAAAAATGCGGTTAAACATATACTGTATACACAATCACTTAGAACAAATACATAGTAAGTTACATGAAATTTTACACTATATACCGAATTATTGAAATACAAATTGGATTTAGGATTAATTTGGTGGAGTATTTTGGAAGTTGATGAGTTTAAGAATTAAAGGTGGTAAAAATTGGGTCTATATGCATAATACCTTATTTTGAAAGTGGCTGAGTTTAAAAATACGTCGAGGTAAAAAACTTTTGTCTTATATGCAAAAAATCAATTTATAATTCTCGGCATCGCGACAATAGTAATAAAACACCAAAAAATGATGATGATTTAGGGTTATTTAGGCATTAGTCCCTAAACTCTTCAACAATTGCTTGTTAGTCCCTCAAGTCCTAAGGGGTAATGCAATTTGGTCCCTCAAGGACCAAAATACCCCTCGTTTATGTTTTCCTTTCCAAAATTCTTCTTTCTCAAAGAAGGTATATTTGCACTTTGGTACCTTGAAGTTTACACCTTTTTGGTTTTAATATCCTTATTTTTTATATCTGTGGTGTGCACCTTACATCACTCTGTTGCACATATATAATTGCGCCTTGCGTATGTATGTGTAAAGAGACTTTTCCCCCTGCATGACACATCACACATTGATAACACTGTCTGCAAGCAACCCTTCAAAAACATTAACTAAGGGGTATGTTTTTCATTGAGGGACCAAATTACAAGACACCTTAAGATGTGAGGGACTAATGTGCAATTTCAAAGATTTGAGGGACTAATATTGAAATAACCCTTTTTTAGTTTTTTTATTATACCGAGACATTTTTAGAGTGATGGCAACAATACGTACATAGAACTCCATTTAAGCTTTAGAGTAAATTTTATTCAAACTTGGTTTAATAGGTAAATTTATTTTTCTTTATTAATTTGGTGTTGCATAGTGGTTCTGTATGTCTAGAAAATGAAATGTGTCAAATGAGGAGTCGAAGCTATGACCTGTGCCATGAGATAAAAAGCTCAAACCAAATGTGCTACTTGGCTTTTAGGATGACTAGTAAGATGGGCACGTGGGCTTGCTCTATTTTTCAAATCTCTCAAAATGGAATTTGTTCCTAATATATGTGTCATTGTTTTTTTAGATACTTTTTTAGACCCATTGCTGATACTAATTAGCAGCAAAATTTTGTATCTATTTTTCATGATATTATGTATGGATTAGATATGTCATAGCCAATTTCTCAGAATATTCTTTCACAATGGACTCTAGTAAGTGAGGTTTCAAATAAGTATTTAGATAATATTCTTCTATTCGAAAAAATGGCTTGTTGAAATATTGATTAGTAGTTCCATTGAGATGAACCTATCTGAGAAGAAATGTTTAGGAGTTCTTTATTGAATCAATAGCTGTTGTATATCGAAATTTCTATTAGACCCTTCAATTGTCGTAACTTGTTTGAAATAGATCCCTCTAATTGTTAATTCTATTAATCATTTAATAGACTAATGTCAAATAACTTGAGAAATTTAATAGCAATTTCAATGATTTGAAGGGCTAATTCAAAATAACTTAAATATGGACTTAAATAACAATTTCAATGATTTGAATGATTAATTTCAAAGTATACAAGATTTAAAGGACTAATATTTGATGGTTTCTTCCTCTTTGATACCCCAAAGTTTTCCCGCTTCACTTCATGTGTCAGATAATTTTTCTAACACTCTTGTACCCTAAAGCTTCAATTAAATTTCACTATGATGCCACATACAAATTATGTTAGATTTTTCATTGATTTTTCATTAAGTTTATGTGTCTCTAGCACATGATTAGGGTTTCTGAGAAATAATGGTAATTGTGTAGAAATGAGTTTCTTTTCCTGCTGGAATTGGGATTTTGTTATTTGGTAGAAAATAGCCAAATAGGTCCTTAGGTTGTCTTTTCTTTCACAAATATGATTAATATACCCTCATTAAACATATAACTAATCTTGTGGTAAATAAAAACATTTATTCAAACACTCTTGTACCCTAAAGCTTCGATTAAATTTCACTATGATGCCCCATACAGATTATGTTATATTTTTCATTAAGTTTATATGTGTCTCTAGCACATGATTAGGGTTTCTGAGAAATAATGGTAATTGTGTAGAAATGAGTTTCTTTTCCTGTTGGAATTGGGATTTTGTTATTTGGTAGAAAATAGCCAAATAGGTCCTTAGGTTGTCTTTTCTTTTCACAAATACGATTAATATACCCAAGGTTATCGATAGCGGATAGCGTCGCATAGCGGTGAGACATCGCTAAGGCTATTTTGGGCTATTGCGGCAAAATAACGGTAAAAAACGCAAAATCAAATAGCGGTCTAATTTAATTATGTATAAATACTAAAAAAATTAAAGAAAAATCTAAGAAATCTAAAAGTACATATTGGATGATTTAAAAAGATCCTAAACATGAAATAGACATGTAACCATCACGTAATACCGAAGATGACTGGAGGAATCAAAAAGTCGTCGTCTTCGAGAAGAAGAGCTTAGCAGTGACATGACTGTCCTAAGAGGAGCTCACGGTGAAGGAGGTGAGAGGAAGTATCAAGATAGGTGCCAGAGGCTATGAGAGGTGGCGGGAGTATGCTGAAAATCACAGGAGATGGTGGAATGCAATGGTCAAGGGTTGAGTTTAATTTTAAAAAAATAAGCCTTAAACCGCTTTTAAATAGCAGTTAAAAAACAAATTTCGAATACAATCGCTCACTATTTACCGTTATGACACATTATTGGCCGTTTTTGCGAACAGACATATTCCGCAATATGTCACCGTTATTGCGCGATAACGTAGCGGGCGATAGCGTCGCGGGAAGGGACCGCTAACGCTATTAGCGCCGCTATTGCGGGGCTATTTACCGCTATTTATAACAGTGAATATACCCTTATTAAACATATAACTAATCTTGTGGAAAATAAAAACATCTAATCACATGTAAGAATTGTGAATTTCTACTTGATATTTAATAGGATTATTTCGATATTAGTTAGTCCCTCATATCTTTAATGTTTTGATATTGGTTCCCCAAATAATTGAAATGGATCTTAGATCCCTCAAATCCTATAACCATTTCTAAATAGGCCCCTCGATTACATATTCCTTCCAAAATCTTAACCATAAATAGTTAGTCCCTAACCACGAATGATTAATTTCCTAATTAACATAGGAACTTATTTCCCCCAAAATCTTCGAATTCTCTCTCTTTTTCAATTCCCATTTCATCTTTGAAAAAAGTGAAAAATTTCCCTCTTTCGCATCCAAATTGTAGACGAGAATCAAGCTCAAAAACATTAGGTGAGCAACACGAGGGGTTTGTGATGATGTCGCCGAGCAATTGGTAGCAATGACTGGAGTGAGGGAGGTTAAATTTGTTGGGTTCGAGCAGGGGTTCTGGATTGAGAGAGGTAGGTGATGGTGTGAGGGTTTGGTTGCAGGGATAAGATTGGATGGTCATGAGAATGAAGAGATGGTGAATTTTATTGGGTCTGACATGTGTTAGTGATACTTTAAGAGGGAAAATTTGTGAGAAGGAAGCACGTTCTGCAAAATCAAGCAGGCTGGTTTGACAAATGCACATGTATATCAGGTTGGAAGAAGCGAGCACATGTCTCGAGTGGGGCCCACCAAAAAACACTTAAAAGAAGCAAGCAGCTCTGATGAAAATTAAGCGGGTTTCAAGTGTTTTTTTTTTATATAGAGCACAGATTTAGGGGAAAAAGGAATATTAAAGTATATTTACTGTAGCCATAACAAGACACTATCTACATTGGTAAACCAAATTGTTTTAGTATGTGTATAGATAAGTATGACTTTTATGCTAAGTGGTAATAGTTAACCCGACTATTTAGACATCTATATATATCAGTTCATTCGATGAATAAATTGACTTTAGATGGCGGAATTTATTGGAGCAAACACTTTTTCAACTTTATTACATTATAAGATTCTCTTTTAATGTAATAAACAAAACTTAGTTGCACCTTGCACTTGGTCTTTATGCTTTAAAATGATGTTTCTCAGAGATGGCGGTACATGTTTTTCTGGGAAGTGTTCCAGCCTTCAAGTTCAGGAAATGAAAATCGTATTCATCGGCAACAGAAAATTCTTTGTCCACTTGTTTGGGATTTCAAAAGTCAAAATATATATTTTTTTATTAACAGCACAGCTTGATCTGATTACCTGACAATAAAATACTTGTATCACTATTAAACCTTGAAATTATATATATTTTTTCAGGGATTATTTGAGGGTTTAAAAGCTTATAGGAAAGAAGATGGGTCAATTTTACTCTTTCGACCAGAAGAAAATGCTTTGCGAATGAGGATGGGTGCAGAAAGGATGTGCATGCCTTCACTTTCTGTTGAGCACTTTGTGGATGCTGTTATGGAAACTGTTTTAGCAAATCGACGTTGGGTATTATAAAAACATCATTTTGTTATTAGCTAATGAAACGATAAGTTTCTAGTTGTCCCATATATTTTATCCTGTTTTGATGCAGGTACCTCCTGCAGGTAAAGGTTCCTTATACATCAGACCATTACTAATGGGAAGTGGAGCTGTTCTTGGTCTTGCTCCTGCTCCTGAATACACATTTCTTATTTTTGTTTCCCCTGTTGGGAATTACTTCAAGGTTTGTTAATTACTATATTAATTTTTCAGGCTGAATACATATGGCATAGTTTGCTTATCAAGAGATAGGGACTTTTTTTCTTGCAACCAAATGACAATATTCTTTTCTTTATCCCTTTTCTTAAAACAATCTTGCATTTCATTAGCAAATTTTATATTGGCTGCTTACGGTGAGATCCTTGTATTTTTAACAATTTTGGAATTTTACTGTAATCAATCTTTTAATTTATGTTGTTCATTGTCTTTGAACTTCCGATGCATCTGTTCTTTTGATTAGGGTTTGTAACTTCATGAAATCTTCAAGGACTGATATTTGAAGGTTTGCTGCTTACTTCGTACTTTGTGCTTGTTCACTCTTTACTTTGACATGACCATTTGTGAGAACTGAAAACTAGAGTTCTAGAAGAAAATATTGATATGTGAGCAGTTACCTATTGTAGGTTTAATTATTACGTGTTGACAAGGTAAATAGATGATGGGTAACCAATGTAAGAAATCATGTAGATGATATTCAATCCTGTGACCAAGATATCTTGACAGAGCCTAAAAACTAGGAATCAACTATATTATTTTTCGAGCTACATGCGTATGTTGTAGTTTGCTTTTGAGACATGGTTACTCTTTGTCTCGCAACCAAATGAGGATATTCTTTTCTTTATCCCTTTTATTATTATCAGCTTCACTAGAAATATCACATAATTTCCCTACTACAAGCCTGCCTTCTCCTAACCCATCGTAGCAAAAACTAAAAATTAACCTTTCCTCACATGATTATGCGGGAAAATGAGAGAGGGTAGAGTTTTAAGCTAAGTGTAATTTTGTGATTACCCAGCCATGGTTTGCCACTAACCCAACCGTGGTTAGAATTTTAGACAGATTCGGTAACAGAGAGACTTAATTCAAATAACTAACTGGATTTTGGGGACTAATTTCAAAATACGAAGATTTGGAGGACTAATATCAAAATATGAACATTTGAGGAACTAATATCGAAACCTTTTGAATTTTATTGACCTGTTAATCCTTTAATGCATATTCGTTATCCTTTAATGCATATGTTTGAATTCCAGATATCAGGAGGCCTAAGCTCGGACCAAAGACAAACATATGTGTGTTTCTTGGCTTTGCTGGAGATAGCAATGCGTGCAGGTTTTTGGACTTTGGAACCAACTCCATCATTGAAGCTCGGGATGCAGAATTCTTTGAGGATAAGTTTATAAAACATAAAGGCTTATTGCTCAAAGATGTAGCAGAGAATGCTAGTACATTAGATGCACAAGAGGAGCCAGTCAATGATGAAGGAGTTATCAAACCATCTTCCAAGCGCGTTCGAAGACAAAGATTTTGGAGATGGCTTCATCACCTATAATGTGGAAGGAAATCCACAGACTTTTCAAGAAGCAATGCAGTCAACAGACGTTCTTCTGTGGAAAGAAGCTATAGATAATGAGATGGATTCATTAATCCAAAATTACATTTGGGAGCTGATGGATGTACCTGAAGGTGCAAGGCCTATCAGTTGCAAGTGGATCTTCAAGAAGAAGCTCCGTCCTAATGGTACTATTGAAAAGTACAAAGCAAGACTGGTATCTATTGTGATAATCAGGCGGCGAGTGCTGTGACAACAAACTCGATGTTCAATGGAAAGAAGCGGATCATTCGTCTGAAGCATGACTATTTGAGAGAGCTTATTTGTCAAGGAGTCATCTCTGTGATTGACGCCCGATCTTCAGAGAATGTGGTTGATCCTTTGACTAAAGGTCTGAAAAAAGACATAGTGGAAAGGACGTCTGTTGGAATGGATCTCAAAGTTTTGTAAGTCTTACAAATACTTACCATGTTTATTAAATTATTAGTTCAAAGCTTATGCTACTAATAATAAAATAATTGGTTCACAAATCAAGTAAGATTTTTATAAAGTTTGATGAGTCTTACAAATACTTACCATTTACATCTAGTTATTAGTTCAAAGCTTATGCTACCAATAACAAGATAAATGGTTCAAAAGTCAAGTAAAATTTACAAATAAAAGAGTTCAAGTTTTCTTAGATTAGTCGGTGTCTAAGGCAATGTTTGGGGGTTACGTAACGCGCTCCGTAAGGAACGAGGTACTTAATTAAGGCAATGTTTGGGGGTTACGTAACGCGCTCCGTAAGGAACGAGGTACTTAATTGATCTTTGATCAACCTCTAATACTATCCTTACCTCCGTAAGGAACGAGGTACTTAATTGATCTTTGATCAACCTCTAATACTATCCTTACCTGGCTGAACTACCAAAGTAAAATTTTGATCTTTTCACCTAGAATCCTATCATGTAAAGGGGATGATTGTTAAGCCTTAATGGGTCAAAAACATTTCGGATGCGGGGTGTTAGATAGGAAATATACCTAAAGGACTCACCTAGAATCCTATCATGAGAGAGAGTGGCTCTTAAGCCTTAATAAGTTCAAAGCATTTCGGATGCGGGATGTTTGATAGGAAACATGCTGAAAGAACTCACCTATGCATGGGTGGAGATTTGGCCGTCTCCTATAATGTCTTATGAAAAGATACCTAGAACCCTAGCAGAAATCAGGACATGCACAGGGTCATAAATGTGCAAAGGCAAAGGCAAATGCAAGGCAAAGGCAAATGCAATGCAAAGGCAAATGCAAGGCAAAGGCAAAGGCAAAGGCAAGTGTGGTTCAAAGTAAAAACTACCACAGATAAGTTTGATCTTGTGTGATCGCTGGATTTTTAGATATGTGTTGGTTCAAGTCTCTACGACACCATGCACCTATCTTTTATTAAGTTGGTCTAAAGTGGATTCAAGTCATTAGACATCTTCCTTATGCACAACGATTGAAACGTCAGCATTGTTACATGACACTAGTTAAAAAAATTATGGGGGATTGTTGAATATTTTATTTTAATTTTTTTTGTTCAAAACTCACATGGGTTGCTGCAAAGGGCAGCCCATGTTTTCAATCTTTTGTCAAAAGTTGTGGGCCTCACCGAAGAAAATTTAAGACGTGGGTCCCACGTCCAAAGATCTCCTCGATCTTTCAGGTAAAGATCTCCTTGATCTGTAAAACCTTCTCGGTCTAGGCACTGTTCCTACGAGCATTAACTATTCTATAATATATATCTGTATATATTGATTGTTGTTTTTTAAAATGAATTTTATTTAAGGATTTGGGGCTATTTATAGCGTTTGGGAAAATACTATGCACTAATAAAATAATAGTATTTTACTATACACGTGGGACCCACATCTTAAATTTTTTTCGGTGGGGTCCATAACTTTTGACAAAAAATTGAAAACATGGACTGCTCTTTGCAGCAGCCCATATGAGTTTTGAACAACAAAACAAAAATTAAAATAAAATATTCAACAATCCTCCATAATTTTTTTTTAAACTAATGTCGTGTAATAGTGCCGACTCTGAAGAAGACTGAAGCTGAAGCGTCTTGGGCTAGAGATGATCACTTCTGCAGGAGTTATCTCATTAACTGTCTGGCCGATCATCTAGCAGATGCTTATACTAACAAGCCCTCTAAAAAGAAAATCTGGAATGTTCTGGAGGATCAATACAAGGATGAGGAGAGGCTTTGCTAATGACAAACTGGATTCTAAAAAGAGTATCCTATTCCAAAACTGATAATACTCCTCATCAGTTATGGTTGGGATATTTAGATTCTTTGGATAATCTCAAAGTGTGGGGGCGTCTCGCATATGTTCGAATTCCAGATATCAGGAGGCCTAAGCTCGGACCAAAGACAAACATATGTGTGTTTCTTGGCTTTGCTGGAGATAGCAATGTTTGTAGGTTTTTGGACCTTAGAACCAACTTCATCATTGAAGCTCGGGATGCAGAATTCTTTAAGGGATAAGTTTATCAAACGTAAAGGTTTATTGCTCAAAGATGTAGCAGAGAATGCTAGTACATCAGATGCATAAGAGGAGCCAGTCAATGATGAAGGAGTTATCGAACCATCTTCCAAGCGCGTCAGGAGACAGAAAGATTTTGGAGATGACTTCATCACCTATAATATGGAAGGAGATCCACAGACTTCAAGAAGCAATGTAGTCAACAGACGTTCTTCTGTGGAAAGAAGCTATAGATGATGAGATGGATTCATTGATCCAAAATTACATTTGGGAGCTGGTGGATGTACCTGAAGGTACAAGGCATATCAGTTGCACGCTACGTTACTCGGACATAGTGGTTTGACCGTCATACCGACGTCGATACGATCGACACTGATCCGGGTACGAAATACAGGTCGGATACGGTGGTTGGCACTTAGATACGACGAGGTGTGTGAATCGAAAAACCAAAAAAATAAAGAAAGAAAAGATGAAATTACATAGCTCCAGC